CATAGATAGATAGATAGATAGATAGATAGATAGATAGATAGATAGATAGATAGATAGATAGATAGATAGATAGATAGATAGATAGATAGATAGATAGATAGATAGATAGATAGATTTGTGTGAGTTTAGTAGTTTGTCTGAATAGATATCCTACCAAAACTTCAGTGTTATCACAGGCTGCTGACGCTAAGATCGATTCCTGAACAACTTTACTCAATATCCCACAATGCACCTCTGGCGGAAATGCCCAGGGACTCCATGGAAACGGCCGACTGGCGTGCTTGTTGCTAGCTAGCGGCCAGGGCTCGATTAGCTGTTTATCTGTGACCGGATACGTCCGTCGCCGCCTCCCGCAGAGATGAGTCGCACCCCGGATGCGAGGGCCAGGTGAGAAACGTCCACCGACCCGCCAAAACTCACCGTTAAACCGCACGCACGCGCCGCCACGCCACGCGCACCGGAACGTGACATAACGGAGGTGGAAAACTGGCTGTTGACCAGTTAGCTTGTGTTTTCAATCCCCAAAAAACCTCTTAACCGCACGTGCAGAGATAAATTTAACATGTTTAGTCAATGTTTTAGTCAAATATCAGAACCTGCTAAGAAGCCGAAACGTTTAAAACAAAAAACATCAAATGAACATGTTTAGTCAATGTTTTAGTCAAATATCAGAACCTGCTAAGAAGCCGAAACGTTTAAAACAAAAAACATAAAATGAACATGTTTAGTCAATGTTTTAGTCAAATATCATAACCTGCTGAGAAGCCAAAACGTTTAAAACAGAAAAAAAAAATGAACATGTTTAGTCAATGTTTTAGTAAAATATCAGAACCTGCTAAGAAGCCGAAACGTGTAAAACAAAAAAAAATAAAATGAACATGTTTAGTCAATGTTTTAGTCAAATATCATAACCTGCTGAGAAGCCAAAACGTTTAAAACAGAAAAAAAAAATGATAAAAGCTTAGTCAGCTGCTCCATCAATGCACGTTTGATGTTTATAGTGTGGATATTTGTACTAAAAGCCAAAATGGATATTGAGTCCAGCAGATGTGGCCGTATAAATGTTTCTTATTCATCTGAATAAAGACAATGCTGGGTGGAAAATCCCTGTTTATCAATGCACATTTGATGTCTATAATGTGGATATTTGTACTGAAAGCCAAAATGGATCTTGAGTCCAGCAGATGTGGTCGTAGAAATGTTTCTTCTTCATCTAAATAAAAACAGTGCTGGGTGTAAAAATCCCTGTTGAGTCCCAGATCTTGTCCCTGCCCTTCCTCCCCAGAGACAACCAGACCCGGAGGATCCAGGAGAACATCACCGGCGTGGAGAAACACTTCGGGGAGATGTGCCAACTGTTCGCCGCCTACGTCCGGAAGACGGCCCGGCTCCGGGACAAGGCCGACCTCCTGGTCCGGGAGATCGGGGTGTACGCCGACACCGAGACGCCGGATCTGAAGAGGGGCATGAAGCAGTTCGCCGACCACCTGGCCAAGGTCCAGGACTACCGCCAGGCTGAGGCAAGGCTGCTTCTTTTCCTGGCCGTGTCACATCCCCACTAGAGCAGTGTTTTTCAACCTTTTTTGAGCCAAGGTACATTTTTTCATTGAAAAACTCACGAGGCACACCACCAACCAAAAATGTCAAACAAATCTGTAGCCGCCTAAAGTAACACTATAGTTATTCTTATTTTATTCTTATCTTATCTTAAGTGTCATGAATAGGAATCAAATAAACA